TATTATAATAATAATGCAATGTTATTTTAACATAAAATATTGGAGGTGTTTACTTGAAAGTATATAGGTTATATTATTTTTCAGATACATAAATGCAATTTAGACAAAACAATATGACTAGTTAAAAGTGACAAATAGTAATAACAGGACTAAATAAATAATGTATAAGTAATATATAACAGTTTTATTATATATTTCTGTCCTCTGATATACCAGTTAATTAACTTTTAAAAATTTTACTGAATATTTAGATTTTGTAGGTTATATTATTCTATATTTTTTATTTCTATTTTTTTATTTTTTAAAGACGGGGTTTCATCATGTTGGTCAGGCTGGTCTTGAACTCCCGACCTCAGGTGTCCGCCCACCTTGGCCTCCAAAGTGCTTGGATTACAGGCATGAGCCACCACGCCCGGCCGCTATTCTATATCCTTAAGATACAAAAAATAAGACTTTTTAAGGGAGAATACAAAATAAAATTAACTAAATAGATATTGCATTTAATAAAAAGTAACAATGGCAAGTTTCTGTCTCATGATACAGTAGGATATTTTTACTCTTCCTGTTTCCTTTTCCAATAATACTTCTCTGAACTTCCTGCAGCCTTTAGGACATCTTTCTTTTCTTTTATGTAATGGTAAAACTGAATACAGTCAAATGTAAAATTTTCTTTGACTTGCAGCTGTGTTCTTATCAAGCCCATGTTACACTGATTCCTGGTGTCGGTACAATGTGATGACATCAATCTAAATATACTCTCAACAAAAACATTTGAGCATGGAATACTTAGGATTTAGTTTACTAGCAATAGCGGGTTTAGAATGGTAGGAATTCTTTTCCGGCTCCCCAAAAATGTCCATCCATTTTTGAATCTATAGGCTTGTTTGGGTAGACCAGCTATTTGCCATTCAGGTCCTTTGCATCTATATTCTTAGAGGTTATCTATGTCTAAAACATCCATCATTTTTAAACATTCTGAAGCACATTGAATGTTACTGTAAGTTAAACTTCTTCTCAGGGAAAATGGTTTTAAAGCACGGATGTAATTTGAACTTGTAAAACCAAAAGTGGATTACAAAAAAGTTACAGTTTGGCCAGGCGCAGTGGGTCACACCTGTAATTTCAGCACTTTGGGAGGCTGAGGCAAGCAGATTACCTGAGGTCAGGAGTTTGAGGCCAGCCTAGCGAACATGGCAAAACCTTGTCTCTACTAAAAGTACAAAAATTAGGCCGGGCACAGTGGCTTATGCCTGTAATCTCAGCACTTTGGGAGGCCAAGGCAGGTGATCATGAGGTTAGGAGATTTGAGACCATCCTGGCCAACATGGTGAAACCCTGTCTCTACTAAAAATACAAAAATTAGCTGGGTGTGGTTATGTGTGCCTGTAGTCCCAGCTACTCGGGAGGCAGAGGCAGAATAATCGCCTGAACCCAGGGGGGAAGGTTGCAGTGAGCTGAGATTGTGACACTGTACTCCAGGCCTGGGTGACAGAATGAGACTCTGTTTCAAAAAAAAAAAAAAAAAAAGTTATAGTTCTTGTAAAGAAATCAAGAAGATCCATTTTAATTTGGTTGCCCTTTTCTGGTGACATTTTTTTTAGTTCTAAAACAGTCTTCTTTCCAAAGAATGAATCATCTTTTCACTGTATGAGTTTTTGTCACAACTTACACATAATATCATGTAACTCAGGTGCAGTTAGTTCATCCTTTTCTAGGCTCCTTATAGCTTCTTCAAAGATCATCAAGCAGTTCTGGACAAAAAGCATATATATTTCTGTTGTACTGTAATCTTTTTCTTAATTCTCATCCTTGATGTATTTCCAAATTAGAGAAGGATACTCTTTTTTTTTAATTTTTAATTTTTATTTTTTTTTGAGACAGTCTTGCTCTGTTACCCAGGCTGCAGTACAGTGGTGTGATCTTGGCTCACTGCAACCTCCACTTCCCTGGTTCAAACAATTCCTCTGCCTCAGCCTTTCGAGTAGCTGGGATTACAGGCAAGTGCCACCACGCCCAGCTAATATTTTTGCATTTTTAGTAGAGGCAGGGTTTCACCATGTTGGTCAGGCTGGTCTCAAACTTCTGACCTGGTGATCCGCCTGCCTCCGCCTCCCAAAGTACTGGGATTACAGGCGTAAGCCACTGTGCCCCCCAAGAACACTCTTCTTTTCCCATGTTTTGAAAATAAGACTTGATGGCAGGCCATCATTTTAACATCTTTTCTGTGGCTGGTAACAACGATAGCCATCTTGTGGGCACATGATGGAGTCTATTTCCTTCTATTTTGACAAAGTCAAAAACCTCATTAACTGTCTCTGCATGCTTTGAGGAAACTGAAAAGCAACCCAAAACTTTGACTGTGAAAGCCTCAATATCATAGAAAAGCAAATTGCAGACCTTTTTAGTAGTCTTGTGTACCAGGTGTGCAGGCCACTTAGCAGGTAAAATCTTTTCTTTCTTTTTTGGTAAGACATTTGTAGACTGATGCTACGTATGTAGTTGTTATAGTGTAGTTAAACAAAACAAAAAAAACAACAACAAAAAAGAAGTTTGTAGACTGAATGGAACTTGCCAAAATTTACATCTGCACTATCTGCTGAATATGCAGATAGGTGAGCAAAGTCTAGTTTGTATTTGAACATGTTATCAACAATCTTTTATGTTTTCTGAAGTTTCATCAAAATTTTCATAGGAATCAAGAAGACGATTTGAAACTCCACTTTTAAAATCAAAGTACCTAAGAGCTGGGAGGGGCAGTTTTGTATTGCTGTGATTCAACCCATTACTTCCTATCCTGTAGAAAGCATGATCATTGGTGAGATACGACAGTATCAGCTCTACACGGTAAGGGGCCAGCACGTCTGTTACCAAAATCTCCCCTTTTGTTCACTCACAGGATATTTTAGTTGCAACCTCTGAATCAGGAAATGTAATTTTACTCAGTTTCATAGAGTAATCAAGGGAAGGATAGGATAATGCATGATCGTTTTTGTGGTATGCCCAGGCTAATTCACCGCTGCTATTTTCTTTTTTCCATTTTTTTTTTCTGAGACAGAGTCTCACTCTGGCTGGAGTGCAGTGGTGCAATCTCTGTTCACTGCAACCTCTGCCTCCCGGGTTCTAGTGATTCTCGTGCTTTTGCCTCCTGAGTAGCTGGGATTACAGGCATGCACCACCATGCCTGGCTAATTTCTGTATTTTTGGTAGAGAAAGGGTTTTGCCAGGTTGGCCAGGCTAGTCTCGAAAAGACAAAATCTTGTTCTGTTGACCAGGATGGAGTGCAGTGGCACTGGTGCAATCTTGACTCACTGCAACCTCCGCCTCCCAAGTTCAACTGATTTTTGTGCCTCAGGCTCCTGAGTAGCTGGGATTACAGGCAAAGCCCACCACACCTAACTAATTTTTGTATTTTTAGTAGAGATCAGGTTTCGCCATGTTGGCCAGGCTGGTCTTGAACTCCTGGCCTCCAGTGATCTGCCCGCCTTGGCCTCCCAAAATGCTGTGATTATGGGCGTGGGCCACCGCGCCCCGCCATAAAACAGTCACCTTGGTTCCCATACCACTCATATACTGCCACCGTACATGTAAATCAGATGAAACTGTGCGTATCTCTCAATGACAAACGACGCACCTTTACCTTAAGTGAAAGGGGGTTCTGCTCCGCGATTTGTCTCTCCCTCCACCCTCTGTGTTATTTAGGGTGCACCATAGGGTCAAAGCCGCAGCAGCGCCACCCCTGTGTGATCGCATATGCCTTTCTGTAACACGACTTTCCCTCGAGCGGGACCAGCTGCCGGAAAGGAACCAAGGAGAGGTACCCAGCGCCTCTCCCACCGGCAGCTACAGCATCGCGAGCGCCTCCGCTAGGAAGACCGCGCGATGCGCCTGTGCTTCCTCCGGTGGCGCCTTCCGCAACGAGATCTCGACCCTGCTCCCTCTACCGGGCTGGATTCGACTCCCTGAAGGCGATTCCAGAGCGAGACCCAGACTGACGGCTTCTAGAAGAGAGGTGAGCCTGGCAGCAAGTCGTTCACGGAGCTAAGACAACGTTGCTTCCGGCTTCTTCCTGTCCTCCCCTTTGAAAAGGGTCACCTCCCGAAAACCCAGGCTCTCCTCCAAACAGTGGTTCTCAAGCCGGGCGATCTTCCCCGGGAGGGAATATTTGGCAAAGTCTGGAGACAGTTTTGGTTCACTCGGGCTGCTACTCGCATCCAGTGGGTAGAAGCGGGGGATGCAGTTACATATCCTAGGAAGCACAGGACAGCCCCCCTTACCCCAGACAGAATTAGCTGGCCCAAAACATCAGTAGTATCCAGGCTGAGAAACCCTGCCTTAAACAAACGGCAAAGGAAGGCCAAGTCCTATAAGTAGGTCACCGAGCCGGGACTGGGGTCCACGGGACACCCTAGCCTCGCCAAGCCGGGAAGTCCTCGCCTCTTGGACCTGAATCCGCCCCTCTCCGGGAGGTGGAGCTGCGGGGAGGCAGGGCGGGGACAAGAAGGGAGAAAATAAATGAGACTGAAAAGCGCTGAGTAGCGCTGTGTGACTGCAAACCTCAATACTTTAGCACCACTTGGGACCCAGCACTCTTCCTGCCACTCACACGTGAGAGGGCTGCGGGGCCGACCCCAGCACTAGAAAACACTCATCACCTCACTCAAGACGGATACAAAGACCAACGAATGCCTTCCTTTAGAAAGCTCAACACACAGAGCAACTTCTCACGCTTTTCCTCGAAGGGCGTACTCCAAACTAGCACTTCTGACTTCCAGCTGTGAACCCAGAGCTGCGGAAAGCCCCAGCGCAGAGCGCCCTGGCATGCGCAGTCGCGTTGTCGCGGTGGGCGTGGCTTCCTCGGGACCCGGCGCCCCGCCCTCCGCCCTGTATCCGCATGCGCGGCTGAGCCGCGGGGGCGGTACTGCCACATCCGGGGTCCGGAGGCCGTGGCTGTTTTGTTTTGTTGGCTGAAACCGGGTGAGGCGGGCCGGTGTGGCGCGACACCGGGCTCCGGACCCACTGCACGACGGGGCTGGACGTAAGTGCTGGGCGGGGAGTGGGGGTAGGAGAGGAGCGGCTGCAGGCTGGAGAGGCCTCGGAGCCGGGCCAGTCCGACGGACTGGTGCCCACAGGCTCTTTGCCGCCACCCTCCGGAAAGCCGCAGACCCGGGCTGTGCTCCCATGGACTTCTCTGACTGCGCCCAGATCCTGCCAGGACAGAAGGGGGACTGCGCCCTACCCCGGGACACCGCAGCATCGCTGGAAATTGCCCGGTCCCCCACTTCACGGCTGGACAGGCCGAAGCCCCGAGAGGGCGTGTGACCCGGCCGGCTCCCTCAGCTAGGAGTGGCTGGGCTGAAGGTGGCTCCCCCATCTTCCAGCCGCGTCCCTCGAGACCTGAAATTCCCAGTCTGGAGGGCGGGGTCTGGCTTAAGCGTGCCAGTCTTCTTGCAAAGAAAAATGGATTGGGGCGGGGCCGTTGGGATGAACCGAAAATAACACTTCCTGGATTGCAGTTCTTCCCAGGGAAGAATCAAATAAGTGAATTTCCTAAATTGAACTTGTCCCAAAGGCATCTTAGCACTGACTCTAATCATATATTTTAATATTTAATTTTTAAAAGAGAAAAATTGAAGTCTTTGCTCTTTTTTAGGGCGTCATATATTTGGGCAATTGCTGGCTACAAAGTAACAAGGGACTCAGGTTCGCTGTAGGAGTCTGGGTTTTTTTTTGTTATTTGCAAGTTATACGTATTTCAGGCTTTTTCATACTCTGAAATAGAGATAATATGGCTGTGTCTCTAGTCAGGTCTGTACAGCTCGGCTTACAAGAATGTTTTATATAATTTATAAAAGTTTGGGTAGGCTGTGGTAATTTAAATAGCAGTTGGATTTTTGTAATCTTAATATTAACCACAATTAAGTGCTTTCTTTTGGCTGGAAACATCAGTTAGGATCAGAGATAGGAATATTAAAATAAAGTAGATGTTTTTTACGTAGAAATAGCACCAAAAGGTAGGCTTGCAGAAAGACAATGAAGTGAAAGGAAATGATGTGGGTAGAGGTAAGAACTGCAGTGCAATGTTTAATTTCTTAATCTAGGTGTGAAGAAACACACGTTTTGTGATAAAATATGTAAATTACTAATAAAAATATTTTTCATTTGAATCTATACTTTAACTCAGAGCCAAAGTTTATCACTTGTCTCTCTACTAATGTTAGTGCTTCTGGACTGTAAATATCAAAATCATTTAATAACTTAGTTTGGAATCAAAATAACAAAAGAGCTCCTGGGGATTAGTAATCACATACTTGGTATTACAAGTACCACCTAAACTAATTTAATACCTACTTAGAAATAATAGGATGTAACAGATTTCAGGAGGAGGTCAGCCAGTAGTTAAAATTTTTTCAATATTTGGAGACTCACCTTTGTTACTATTACTTAAATATATCCGAACCATTTTTATTTATTTATTTATTTATTTATTTTTGAGACCGAGTCTTGTTCTGTCTCCCAGGCTGGAGTGCAGTGGCGCAATCTCAGCTCACTGACCTCTGCCTCCTGGGTTCAAGCGATTCTCTTGCTTCAGCCTCCAGAGTAGCTGGGATTACAGTCATGTGCCACCACGCCGGGCTAATTTTTGTACTTTAGTAGAGACGGGGTTTTGCCATGTGGGCAGGCTGGTCTCAAACTCCTGACCTCTGGTGATCCACCCGGATCCCCAAACTATTTTTTACATTAAAAAAGATACAAGGGCCGGGCACGGCGGCTCACGCCTGTAATCCAAACACTTTGGAGGCCAAGGCGAGCGGATCACCTGAGGTCGGGAGTTCAAGACCAGCCTGACCAACATGGTGAAACCCCGTCTTTTTAAAAGAAAAAAAAAAAAAAGATACAAAATGAATCCAGATGTTACTTTCCAAAGTTATAATGTGGAAATTCATCAAAAACTAAATCAAATATTCTGAAGTATGTGGAACCAAAATAAAGTATTTGTAATTTCACTTTAATTATTCCTGGGCTATTAATTATTTTTCAGGTTTGAAGCAAGTAAATGGAAGTACTTTATTTAATTGTTTGTTTGTTTGTTTTTAAGTGACCTGAAAAAAATGTCTGGATTTCTAGAGGGCTTGAGATGCTCAGAATGCATTGACTGGGGGGAAAAGCGCAATACTATTGCTTCCATTGCTGCTGGTGTACTAGTAAGTGTCATGGATAATTTGGATCTCATTTTTTGGTTCGTTTGTGTTTATGGGTTTTGAATTCTGCAGGATGTTTTAAAATTTGTACTATTTTATCTTTCATCACTGTACTTATTTTAATAAGCATTGCTATTTTGCTGCCTATGGAGAGTTATTAGTTCCATTTGAATAGTTTAAATTATGATTTAAAATTAGATTAATAGAGTGGTTGGGTTAGTTTAACTGTGTGGTAAAAATGGCATAATAACATTTATTATGTGGATTATATTTCCTTTTTTAATGAGTATTTTAAGGTACAAGGAAGTGTTTAAGAAGCAATCAGGTCAAAACCAGTCAATAGCTAGCATTGCATTTCTCCATGATCCAGTTAACTTTCTTCTCGGTCTCATTAAGGAAAAAAAAAGTGGTCACTTCAGCAACACATACACTAAAATTGTAACAATACAGAGAAGATTAGCACGGCCCCTTTAAATTTTGTTTTAAAAGCAAAAACAAAAAAAGAAAAAACATTAAAATACATTGTGTAGAAGTAATTTACAGAATAAAATTCTTATTTACACTTCAGATCCCTCAAGGGATCCGATATTAGTTTTTTATGATTATATGATGTTATGGGCTCCAAAGAGTAATTTTTTTTTTTTTTGAGTTGGAGTTTTAGTCTTGTGCCAGGCTGGAGTACAATGGCACGATCTTAGCTCACCGCAACCTCCGCCTCCCAGGTTCAAACAATTCTCCTGCCTCAGCCTCCTGAGTAGCTGGGATTATAAGCATGCACTACCATACTTGGCTAATTTTGTATTTTCAGGAAAGATAGGGTTTCTGCATGTTGGTCAGGCTGGTCTCGAACTACCGACCTCAGATGATCTGTCCACCTCAGCCTCCCAAAGTGCTGGGATTACAGGCGTGAGCCACCACACCTAGCCCTAAAGAGTAAATTTTAAGTAAATGAACAAATAAACATCTAAATTTAAGTATTTCCTCTTCACCTAATCTCTAACAGTTACAATCCATGAAAAATAATTATCCTATATTTTTTCAAAATAATGGCAAAATATTTTTTCTCAAGCTTTAAGATTCATTTATGCCGGGCGCCATGGCGCGTGCCTGTAGTCCCAGCTACTCGGGAGGCTGAGGTGGGAGGATCGCTTGAGCCCAGGAGTTCTGGGCTGTAGTGCACTATGCCGATCGGGTGTCCGCAGTCAGTTCGGCATCAATATGGTGACCTCCCAGGAGCGGGGGACCACCAGGTTGCCTAAGGAGGGGTGAACCGGCCAAGGTCGGAAAGGGAGCAGGTCAAAACTCCCGTGCTAATCAGTAGTGGGATCGCACCTGTGAATAGCCACTGCGCTCCAGCCTGGGCAACATAGCCAGACCCCGTCTCTTTAAAAAAAAAAAAAAAAAAAAAGATTTATTTATTTTTGAGATATGGTCTCACTCTGTCTTCCAGGCTGCAGTGCAGTGGTGCAATCACTACTCATTGCAGCCTCAACCTCCTGGGCTCAGGTGATCCTCCAAAGAGTATTCTGGACCACAGGCAGGGGCCACAACACCGGGCTGAGTTTTTTCTTTTTTTTTGTGGAGATGGGAGTCTCTCCATGTTGCCCAGGCTAGTCTCCTACTCCTGGTCTTAAATGATTCACTGGCCTTGGCCTCCCAAGGGGCTGAGATTATAGGGCCTCACACCCGGCCAAAAAGCTTTTGAGTTTTTACTCTATGAAGAAAATATCTTGAATACATTGAGCTGAGGGTAAAAAGAAAGGTGTATTTACTCATGCTAGCCACTAAAAATGGTATTAATCAAGTGTAGATCTGTCTGTAATCTCATAAAAGTAATTTGACTGGCCTAAAATTGTTATTTTTAAATAAGTGCCAGAAGATGGCAGTTCCCAGAGCTGAGTCAGGGTTGGGAGTGAGGATAGGAAAGGGGGTTACTTTTAAAATCTGCTAAGCTACTTGTCAGAATTTGGTTAATATAATTTTACTGTAAATTTCTGGTGATAAAAAATATTTGTGCAGTTTTGGGGTCATTTTTCTTGTTGTGTCTTTGCCCTTGGTAATATCTGGAGCCAAATTCAATTAGATAAATTGTAATCTAATCTGGTGTTTAAATTGAATTCAAAATCACACCCGAAACCATCTTTAGCCTGCGCTGGAATTCGTCAAAAGCAGAACCTTAGAGCTGTTACTTCACACCAAGAAGATAGCTAAAATTCTGTCAGCAATAATTGTTGTCCATATTAATTTGAATGTGTTTTTCTTGATTTGGGGGAATATTTTTCTGGAGGCTTATATCAACAGGGCACTTCCTCCATCAGTTGGAATCTCAGTCACTTTTTTCCTTTCCCCCTCCAGGAGATAATTGGTTTCTAGTTCACCAAATTATATTATAAGGTTTTATTATGATAATATTAAATAATGATTGAAGTAGGCTTAGAGAAAAGTTAAGTCAATAAATATAAATTGTCAGATTTAAGGGTGCCTAATATTTAATCAGCTATTAGGCCATGTGCAAATCACATGTGAGAAATAGAACGTTTTTGAAATTTATTAAAAGGGATCTCTTCACTTAAAGACCTTTCTTGCTTTTAGCCAGTGAGATATGAAATTGCTTTAATTTCTCATTGGTGTCACCTTTGTTTTAGTTTTTTACAGGCTGGTGGATTATCATAGATGCAGCTGTTATTTATTCCCCCATGGAAGATTTCAACCACTCATACCATGCCTGTGGTGTTATAGCAACCATAGCCTTCCTAATGTAAGTGACTTCATAATTGGCATTACTTACATAGCTGGCCACAAAATAAAAATGTTTCATATACAGTTGCATAGATTTAAAATTCTAAATATTATCAAATTAATGTACTGGAAATGAATTTAAAGTCATACAGTAGAGAAGGACTTACACAGAAAAGCAGCAGTCCTCTTTGTTCTTTTTGTCCACCTCTGCACTCCCTCCCAGCTTCTCTTAGCTATCCTTTTATTTTTATACTGCCAGTGTTTATAGCTTTACAGTTAAGTCAGAAACTATGTATTTTGTCTAAGGGATTATTCTTCTAACAATATTTATTAAGCCTTTATATTCCAGACTCTGCTCTAAGTACAGGAGATAACAGTAGTTAATAAAACAGGAAAAATCCATGTGTTTTTGATATTTAAAATAAGTACAAAGGGGCTGGGCGCGGTGGCTCACGCCTGTAATCCCAGCACTTTGGGAGGCCGAGGCGGGTGGATCACGAGGTCAAGAGATCGAGACCATCCTGGTCAACA